CCCGCGCCCGCGCTCCCGGCCCGGCCTCCCCCCTTCCCTTCTACCTTTCGTCCTTTGCGCGCTGTCGTTTTAGGCTCTCCTTTTCTTCCTCTTGTTTTCCCCCCAGTGTTCTCCCTGCTGTCTCCAGCCTTCCTTCCTCTCCCGTCTTTCTTTTGCCCGCTTCTGGTCCTCCTTACACCCCCTCCCCAGGCAAGGTCCGGCTCTCCTCCCTCTCGGTGCTTCGTCCTCTCCCGAGCCCCTGGGGACCCAGATCTGCCCCCTGGAAACGGCACGCGTTGTCTGATGGAGGGAGGCGGACCCAGTGGGAGAAAGTCCCCAAGTGGGGTGATGGGGAGGGTCACGGCGCGGGTCCCCGGGCGGCCGGCCGAGAGGGCGTGAAGTTAGACCGGAATCGTGGAGGGCAGCAGTCGGGGCGTCCCGGGCCGCGGGCACGGCTCAGGCAAAGGTCCAAAGGCAGGAAGCCAAGGTGATTCCGGAGGACAACGAGGCAGTCAGGTCTGATCACAGCCCTGGGGCCGGGAGCCAAGGAGCTGGGAGAGGTTGGGGTGAATGGGCGGGGCCGTTCTCTGTGCTGGGAAGGCCCGGCCAGGAACTTGGTCCTGCAAGGGTGCGCGGGAGCCACGGAGGGTTGTGAGCAAGGATCAGGTCCGAATGTCCATCCTTTCTGAGAGCGTGAGCGAGGTTGGGATGGAGGCATCCCCTGCACTGAGGGGCTAGGACCCGGAGGCCGAGAGGAAGGGGTGGGGCCGAGAATGTCGGGGCGTCTGCACCGCTGGCGCTGGCGGGAGGGTTTAAGAGGAAGCTGGATCCCGGCCAGGAGCTGAGGGAAAGGGTTCAGTCCCAATGGGGAGCCAGGAGAGAGAGAGAGAGAAGATGCTGCCTGCCTCTGGAGCCTAGTGGACAGCGAGTGCTGGGCAGTTCAGGGAGGACACGCAGGCCAAGGATGATGTTTGGTCCTGGGATTCCCTTCCAGCTCCGCCTCTGGAGAAGCACCCCACCCGTCCCTGTGAGGACAGCTCTACTTACTAATTTCTTGCGCACCTTTCCAGAGGAATTTTACACTTGTATACACACGTGCTGTGCCAGCCTCTTTTTGTATTTTTTGTCCTGAGAGGGAGTCATATTATTCTTCAGTGTTTTTTTAAACACGATACCTTAATGATTCCCCATATCCATGCTGTTAGAGCTACCACATTCATGGCTGTATAGTATTCTATTTATCCATAATCTATACAGTTCATTGAGAAATTGGGATTTAAAAAAACAAACAAACTAGCCCATACGCTTATTCAAATCCTCTGGTTTGGGTGTTAAGAAATAAAATTTCATCCAATGCTTTTAAGTCTCAGAACCCAGATATTTGATAAATACTTCTAGGGCTTTTAAAATTCATTCATAGTTCCTATAATGATCTCCCCTTGCCCGTGATTTCATTTTTCAAAGTTTCTTTTGCCTACAATCAACTGCGGCTCTAAAATATTACACGGAAGGGCCGGGGATTTAGCTCAGTGGTTCGGTGGCCTGCCTTGCAAGGGCAAGGACCGGAGTTCAATCCCCGGTACCAAAAAAAAAAAGACATGGAAAATTCCAGAAATAAACACCTCATAAGCAAGGTAGTGAGAGCTCACACCATCCTTCCGGGACCCGAGCCATCCCTTTGTCAGGCGAACCTGTGCTACCTGTGCCTGGTAGTCACTTAATAACTGCCTCAAGTCCGCGTAGTTATCAACGGACTGTGGAGGCACTGCAGAGCTAGGGTTCAAATAATCTCTTTTATTTATTAATGGCACCCAAGGGCTGCTGGAATTGTTATTACAATGCAGTTACAATCGCTCTGTTTTATTATCGTAGATATTAATCTGCTAGTGTACCTTATGTAAAAAGTAAATGTTGACGTAGGTCTGCATGTCTAGGAAAGACACACGGGATAAGAGTGTTCAGTGCTTCCTGAGGTTTCAGGACTTCCCTGGGGATCTCGCAATGTATTACTCCCTCCCCTGACGAGGGGATAACACTGTCACCATAGGAACAGAGATGGCCATCGTAACAACACGCACTTTTTACTGCATGATTATTTGGGGCCAGTGCCCAGACGAGTTATTTACTATGCATTACACCGTTGATTACAAAGCCACCTTATTATTGGAAAGTCGTCATTTTCCTGTAAGGATAAGGAAACCAAGGTTCTGAATAATGAGTTACTCTTTCACAAAATAAGCGTCAGGTAGAGCCAGGGAGTCAAACTCAGGCTGCTCTGACTCCCAGTTACTTCTTGGGGCAGAGAGCTCCTGCTTCACAGAATGAGCTACCACTGGGGATCGATGCTGGGCACGCTTAGACCTTGCCACACACGTTGCAAGTTCCCCTGTGATTACGAAGCTGCCTGTGTCGGTCCCTGAACTGTGCCTCGACATCAGAGACTGTCCCTCCACGCCCATGCCAGGTGCCCCGTGGACGGGGCTGCCTCATGGTGCTGGCCGCTTGTCCTGCCTGATCTTGCTGTGTTGCGATGTCTGGATGGGTGTCTGTCTCTGGGAATTCGCTGAGGGCACAGTCTCCATCTGAGTTTTTTCTGTGTCCTCAGTATCGCCCAACATGGGTGCGGCTCAGAGCAGGGGTACTGAAAACTGTGAAATGAATGAGTGGAGGGATGGGTGAGTATCAAATGATTTATGCTTTAGGCTGGAATTTGCTTACATCCTGGGACAAGAGCATAGCTCTCATTAGTTCCTGAAACATTAGGTAGGCCTCCATTTGCATAAGTCAGTCGTGGGGACCACTGTTTCTATCGTTCTGTGTGGTGCATGGGCCTCCAAACCCTTCAGCGCCTAAAACACATCTGTTGTAATTTTACACAAATCCCTGAGTTTCAGGACCTGCGTTCCTATCAAACCTGGAGACAGAGGGGCTACTTTTCCCATCGGTGCCTGGCGCTGAGATGCATCTTTCCCATCAGATACCGGCACACAAGTGCCACCGTACCTGTCAGACTTGACTACCCTGTGTCCCTGGTTCCATTCATTCCACTTAGACATAGGAGCCACCGTTCTAACAACTCCTGAGGCGCTGATGCCACCACGCTTGCTCCCCATTGGAGTAGCGTTCCGGTGGAAAGTAGAAACTCCCTGCCCTTCACGAGGCCATCCCCAAGTTTCTGAAACAAGAACAGCTAGACGGGAGGACAGCTGTCCCTTACCTGCCCTGGTCTGAGTCAACAGCTCGCATGTAATACCCAGGGGACGCTGAGTTGGACAACCCTGCATGAGGGATCAAGACTAAACCCGGGACGCTCCCGGGATACCGGTTATTCCTTACAGGTGGGACAATCCTCAGATATATAACAACACAGACCGTTCAAACGCAGCGGGTGCTCCGATCGCTGTATTAGTCCAAAATGGCAATTTGTGCCTGGTAGACTTGTAGGGGCAAAGTTTTGGTGTTGGAGCGGAAGTGGGAGAGATGAATCTTGTTCCCACTCTCTGCTCTCTTCTGGACAAGGGCCTGGGGAAGTGAGTGATTATTTGGGAAGGGTTTCCCACACCTCACCTAGCCGTGCACCACACCTCCTGCTGATCCCGTGTGTGGACCATCTTCAGCCGCTCTTCTCTATATCTAAGCAAAGGTCGGGGAAGGCTGGGCCGAGGAACAAGGATCCTGAGGTGGGTATGGTTTTTACAAGCCTTTCAGCTGCCATCTACCTCACCTACCTCTGGTAATAGCTTTTCCCCAGACGGTCCACATTCCATGAGACTGACAAGAATGTCATGCTAGAAGCAGAAATATCCAGGCTCCCTCTCAAAACTTGGCCCGGACATATATCACCAACAGGGTAATCAGACCATTCATCCATGACCTCCACTACCTGACTAGAAGCCAAGGTTTTACTTTTGATCCTAACCCTTGATTTTATGTCTTTGAAAAGATGCAAGCATTCACACACATGGACAATGTTTTCATTTTCCAAGAACAGCCTTGTCTTGTGTATGTAGCAAGGAGATAAAAAGCATAGAGTCTGGGCTGGACTGCCTGCGATTGGGTCCTGGTTTCCCCACTCCACCAGCCGTGTCTCTCAGTGCCTCAGTTTTGTGATCAGTATGATGGGGTTGATAATAGCCACCTTCATCACAGGATGGAGACATGAGGGAAGGGATTGAAGGAAGAAAGTGCCTGGCACATAGGAGAATTATCTGATGTTATTCCTACCAGTTAATAGACAGCTAGCTCTTTGCTCCAGTTTCTTTATGCACAAACATATAATGTTATCATTTTTTAAAATTTATTTTGGTTTTTTAAAACAGGATTTCACTATGTAGTATGGGCTGGCTAAGTTTATATAAACAAAGCAATTTGTACTTACAGAAATTTTTTTTTTCTTTTTTGCTTGCCTTTATTGACTCCTCTCTTTCTGCCCATTCTCAGGTAACTCTCCACCCAAAATCGTTTGTCCTGTCTATTTTGACAAATCTATTAAGTTGCTCTATTTAATAAAATAGGGCCATTTATTCTTTTTTTTCAGCTTTAATTGAGTTTATTGGTACATTTTAGGGACACAGTACAGTTACATTCATTGTTGGGATCTTGTACCTCTACAAGACGGGTCTTTGTTCTCATTTTTCCCCTTGTCCCTGCCCTCCCTTCACCCTCTCCTCCCCTCCCCATCTACAAACACTTTATTTCCTTTTTTTCATTATCACACATTTTTTTCTTTTGGGGCGATTTATTCTTAAAGAGGTTTTTTCCTTTGCTTACCTTTATTGGTCCCTCTGTTTCTGCCCGTTTTCCCGGTCCAAAATCCAAAATCATTTATCCTATTATGGGCTGAATCATACCTCCAAAAACATATGCTGATGTCCTAATCCCCAGTACCTGTGCATGTGACCTCATCTGAGGTCTTGACTGTTGTAATCAAGATGAGATCGCACTGAATTGGGGTGGGATCTAAATCCAATAACCCCGGTACCCTTAGGAGGAGCGAGATCCGCAGGCTGTGCCCTTGGTTCCCGGTTTCCCCTTCTTTGGCTTCAGGTGTCTGCATGGCTCCACGATCCTGCTCCTGACAGACGGCCAGCGGTCCAGCAGCTTCACGAGGCCGAAACCCTCATGTTCCTGCATCGCGTCAGCAGGTGCTGTGCCGTCTCATAGCCGCGCAGGAAGGCAAGTGCGGGACAGTAAGATGATCCGAGAGAGCCCACATTCCCATTTACCGCTCTGCTACTGTGATTGCTGTTTGAGATTGTTTATTGTTAATCTCTTGCTGTGGTGAATTTATATGCTAAACTGTATCTTAGGGTGAGCACACATACATCACAGGCACACACGTGTTGTCCGTGGTTCCAGTCACCCATGGGTATCTGGGGTGAATACCCCCGTGATTAAGGGTCTGCTGTGCCCGAGGAGAGATTTGGAAGACCACATGGCAAAGAGGCAGACATTAGACAGATGCACCTCTGTCCCGAGGACCCTGGCAGCCACCAGAGGCTGGAACAAGGCAGGAAGGAGCCTTTAGGAAGAGCACAGCTCTCCAAGGCCTAGGCTCCACTCACATGAGAGAATACATCGCTCTGTGGTGCTGTCAGAGAAGCCCTAGGAAACTGATGCACCATCCTTGCTGTGTGTCTCACGTGCTTTTCCTCCGTGCTTAAGTCACAAACCCATGAGTAGTCATACACTTGTGGTGCGTCGAAATCCAGTTTCAGTCTCAGGGTTTGTTCACATTTTTCTGTGTAGTTTTGTCTCACGTCAGTCTTCTGAAGACTGAAGCACTGACTGCCAGCTTCAAGGCCATGTCTGGCCTCCTTTGAACGTGTGTGGCCTCAGGGAATGTGGGAACGATTGCGTTAGCGTCACGTCCGATCCGGGTAATAGTATGAATAATACAGACCATCACGTTATTTCCAGCGATTCTTGAAAACCTTTCAACTTTAAACATTTTCGTATAACTTTGTGAGTCTTGTGTTTGTTCCAGGTCAAAACTGTCTCATTCAGTTGAGGTCTAAGTGCGTGCGTGTGTGCGTGCGTGTGTGTGTGTTCACACTCCTGTGCGTGCGTGCGTGTGTGCATATGTGTTTCTGTGCATGTAATTATATAATTACAGGAGTGAGTGGCTGAAATAACCATTGATGAGTGTGAAAGCCTGCAGGCTGAAGGCGTTTCTTCAGGAGATGGACTCTGGGGCACAAGTTTGAGTTCAGCAAATTAACTGGGGGCCTTCAGAGTCTCCATGCCCCGGGGAGATAAGGGGACAGGACTCGGGGTGGGAGAAGTTGAACCTTTCTCTGTGGAGCCCTCAGGAAGGCCTCAGCCAATCCCACAGGCTTCCTGAGTAGGGGAAGAGGGGCCAGGCCTTACAACACACACTGGCCTGTTAAAAGAAAATTTAAAAATCTGACAGATTAGTTTTTATTTTTCAGAAACATTTTGATTAGCACACGCTTGCCACACGTAATGAGTGCCCTCATCGCGGGAGCATAAACACATCACATCTCAGTCCTGTCCACTTCCTCTCCCTGCTTCCCCTCTCCCTCCGTCCCTTGATCCCTTCCTCATTTGCAAAAAGCTACACAAATTAAATTTAACAGCGTTTATTTAAGCAAAGTGTGATTGGAGAATGGGGCAGTGGGGCGTCACGCAGTCCCGGGGAGGGCTGGAGAGCACCACCCAGCAGCATGAGTGGAGAGCTTCAAGGCAAATGCCGAGGCAGATCTGACAACCCTGTCAACCCTGATCATCCCTGGCCGCTCCCACCACAGGTCTGCCTCTCAGGGAACTCCGTCCTTGTACCGGCTGACACCTGGTGATTTGTTACCCCAAAGCATGCTGAAGTTAGTGCTGAGAGAAGTGTGTCTCCCAAAAAGCAGATTTTGGGGTGAGGCCTGGGGGAGCTGTTTGGGACATGAGGGTTCCACCCTCATGAGTGGATCAATGTGGATTCTAGAAGGACCTGAGGCTACGAGGTCAATTTCTCTTGTTCTCTTTTACCCTCGTATATTCCACCATGCTATGACAAAGCAAGAAGGCCTTCCAGATGCCAGCATCCCCAAAACAGACACTGCAGAATTGGGAGGAGCAAATTCACCCTCCACACACACACACACAATCTGTCTCTGTCTCTTAGGTTTTGGTTTAATTGCACTCTAAGGCTACTGTTTGTCAGGTAGGAACTCAGAATACAGAGACAGCTTTAGACCCATGACCTCCTGCTTGCTCTGCTCCAACAGACCCACCACTGGGCATTGGCTGACCGGGCAGGGGCTGTGGCCTTGGGGAGGCAGCTGCCCCCATCTGAGGGCTTCTTTGGGATGCAGGAATCAGCTGAGGGCTGTCAGTCACCAACTTCCTTTGCAGCTGGGCAAGCAGTGTCCCCACTACAGCATGCCTTTGACACCCACAATAACTGAGGATTTCTGCATAATTACACAACACAGGAAATAGACTTGTGTTGGTAAAAAATGTTAGACGTGCTTTGGTTAGATATGTCGTTAGGAAGAATGTTTTTTCTCCTCTTGGAACCAACAAGTACTTGCAACAAATGTAAATAATATCATAAGACAGGACAGCAAAGATTAGATAAGATGGAAAGCCAGAGATCATTTTTGTGATAGGCAGCAGGCTTTGTAGAATTATTTGCTATTCCAGCATCCACACTGTTACAGAAAATAATCTTTAGTAACTGCATTTGATTTTGTAAAGTTATTTGATTCCAATTAGGTCATACATCTTTTAAGAAAAATGTTATTTGAAGATTTGTCACATTTGTGAAGATGAATTTTTGGAAGGCTAACAACCCTGCCGACTTAAGTTTCTTGAAGTGGAAATAACATCATCTAAACTCATGTACGACAATTTCTATGATAATCCATCTTTGACGCAGGCATCAAAGACTGCAAAGAGCGTGGGGAAAATATAGTGCTAGCAGGGATGTGCCACGGACACCTTTTGTTCTCACTAATCAAACTTCAAAACAACAGGTTTTGAAAGAATACTTAAAAAATATAAATTCTTCATAATTTTCAGTCTACTGAAGCCGACACCTGAAATCTGTCAAGTTGACTGCACAGTACTGTCAACTATTTTTGGAAAACGGGGGCTTTTCAAAGTGGGCCCAAGCTATGATTCTTAAAAGTGCTTTCTAGACAACATGCTTTAAAAAATTTGTTCTGGACGTTATTAAACCATGTACAGAATGGTTGTAGTCACTGTGTACAGCTTCAGCAGGTTGCGTGGGAAACGTGGGTACGAAGAAATAACCAAGTGACTTTTTATTTGATTTGTGACTAATTGAGCTGTATTTCTACTTAGTTGTTGAGATATATCTCAGTCTTGCACATAGTTAAAACACAGAGGATATGAATTACAGAATGTATATAGAATAGAAGTGGTACTTGTCATTGACGATGGAACCCAAAAAAGGCAAAGACTATCAGTGGATTCAAAATTACAAACATCAAGGACCCGAGTTCAATCCCAGGTACAAAAAAAAAAAAAGATACAACATTACAAACGTCACGATTAAATACTACATCAACATCCACAGATGAGCTCAGTCTTAGGTAAAGTAAATGACTGCTCAGGGCAGGACCCTGGTGAGGGCGCATTTGCATCCATCTTGAGCCAAAGTCAGACTCCTGTCATGCAGATTCAGGTCTGTATTCACATGAAGTGTTCAAGCAGGAACAGGACAGCCAAACAGCTTCTCTATGTTCAAGGAGTTACTGAAGCAAGACGGAGCCAGTGCATTATGCAGGTGCCAGTACTGATACAGCAGGACTGGGCTGAAAATGAAAGTGACCCACAGAAAAAGTAGCTTCTTGGAAGAAATTGCTGAAAAGGGAGCCAGACCAAAGAAAGCACTTGGAGGGTGGAACTATTTCACAGAGAATGTGTGCAGTAGAAACTGCTATCATTGTGCCTCTGCAAGGTGCTGGAATGAGCACTGACAGCTGAGATGGAGGTGCAACTTCAGAAGTCATTTTCATGAGGTTGTCCACCTTCTAAGGTCTCTTTTAATGGTCTCACTTCCTGATGTTTGCATCCCTGCTAGACCGCCAAAGACTGTGCAAACTCCCTGCAGGACCGGTGTTTTATGAAGTTAAGTGGTTACACTGTGGGCTGCTGTGTTGGAAATGCCCACGTGGTAAGGACCTGAAGGGTGCCTGGGGCCCACAGCTAGCCAGAAACAAGGCTCCCATCCCAGAGCCCTAAGAGAACTAAGCGATGGCACGGCCCAGTAGCAAACGTGGCAGTGGGTCATGTGTGCCCCGGTGGTCTTCAGACGAGACCCAGACCCTGATTTGGCCCTTGATGCCAGCCTGGAGAGAGATGGGAGCAAGGGATCAGACAGCTGTGCTCAGGTGCCCTGCCCAGGGAAACAATGGCAAAATGATGTAAGCTATGCTAAGCAGCTTGACTTTGGAGTAATTTGTTATGTATCAAAAGATAATTAACCGACTTCCAACTTTTATGTCTTATAGTCAATCCCTTGCACTATCGTCCTATTCCTTTTCTTTTTTTAATCTATCATCCTATTTCTCATCTAAGCTTTAAGGACAGATTCTTCACAAGTGACTGTGTGAACCATCAACTGCATGTTAAGATCTTAGAAAACGTAAGAGAGGCTGGGACTCCCTTCTCTTGGACAATGGTGGACCGGGCTAGGTAGATGACCATTCTGCTGAGAACTGCTCAAGGCGCTGGATGCAGTACCACCAGCAGTCTTTACAAAAGCGCAAAGCACTTGTACATTTTAAGGGTTTCTTTAAAGTCATGAGAGAGAGTTCAGTCTAGTGAGGAATTTCCCAGCTGAGATTTGGAAAGCGAGAAGCAAGGAGAACGTACAAAGCTGCATTTTAACAGAAGAGCATTTGCTTATGCTGATTATAGGAACGAGCTGGTTTTAACCATCTCCTGGGGGTGGGAAAGAGGAGTGGAAGTGGGCCCCAAGTGGTAGCACTGTGACACATGGAGCCCTCTCGGATAGAGGACCTCGCTATAGCAGAAGAAAGGTGACATGCGGAGAGTTGAAGGCACAAGGACAAGAAGACGGTGAGGAAAGGACTTGCTTTCCTCAATAGGAAAAGCAGTGGCGCATTCAGGAGAGTAACTAAGCAAAGAATAATGAAGGGGCTAGAAAGAGAGGTGGGCAGGATTAAGAGGCCCAACAAGGGATCCAAGGGTAAGCAGCAAGAGAAGCCATTAGTGCCTGGAGGGAGGAGGGCAGTGCCCGTGGTCAGCAGGAGCCATAGCCTCCCAGGGTGGTCCGCTGGAGACAAATGGGGCCTGTGTGATAGAGCAGGTACTGTCAGAACCCAGGGGAAGGAACAGGAGGAGCAAGGCTCTCCTTCCCTTCCACCTTCTAGTGCCCTGCCGTGGCCTCCTGTTGGCTCATCCCAGTGGGCAGGGGGAAGGAGAGGATGCTGTCCGGAGAGCCAGCCTCCCAGAGCTGAGCTGAGGAGGCCTACGAGGATCCGAGGATCCGAGGATTCCGGTGCTCTCCTGTCATTGCGGGGTCGTGGGTGCTGTTCCAGCCCTGCTTGATTACAGCAGCCACCTGCAGTGCTTTTCACATCCGATAGCAGGGCGAAAATGAGGTGGGAATGAGACAATTAGTTCCCATAAACACAACCCAGAGTCCTGTGTGTGTGAGGCTACACTGACAATCACTTTTATGCCCTCCTTACCTCCTCGTATACTTTTACTTGCTGGGGACTTGGGCCCAGCAGGAAAACCCAAAGGAACCTGGGTTATCAGTGTTTCCTCTCTCTATTGCTTTGCTGCGGTTTCCTGCTGACTATTATTCTGGACCCAGGGGTCTGAAGAGGTTCCCTGGTGAATGTTCTGGGTGCCAAGGCTAATCCCTCTTCCTCCCACTTTCCCCATAATGTGCTGGATCAGCCAACTAGCTTTACTAGCAACTCTTTCCCCGCTGGTTGGTGAGCATCTTGTCTTAGCCCAAATGGCTTCCACTTTAAAGGACTCGTGACCATGTCCTTTGGTATAAATGCTTCTCCTTTGACACTAGGACTCTCAAGCCCACCCACTCCAAGGTTGCAAGCTTGGGAGTTAAAAATGCAGAAGTGCATGATTGTGTGTGTCAAAAGGCAAAGCTACAACACATTTAAAGACTTTTTTTTCAATTATTCGAAACAGGGTCTCACTGTGTAGCCTGTGCTGGCCTTGAACTCACACTGATTCTCTTGCTTAGCCTCCCAAGACCTGGGATTATAGGCATGAACCACCACCCTCAGCTAATTTAAAGGTCTTAATCAGTTTTATTTGTCACTTTTGAATCAGCAACCCTTCATTCTCCATGGTGCTCCAATGAGCAGAGCCAGAGGAGTTTGGTTTCCAAAGAAGAGGAGGGCTGAGGAAAGCAGAAGCTGAGAACCAAACAAAGATGTGCTATTTCCATTTTACTTTGCTTGTAACAGTTAAAAGCCGAGGAGGCTTTCTTATCATGTCAGCTACAACTGGCCTGTTTGGGGATTTGGTTACTATCTCTCTCTTCTCACTGCTCGGAAGCCGAGATTAGCAACGTGGCTGTGCCTGGTGTGTGGAACTTTGGCATAAGAGACTCCATTTTGGTTGGTTTGGTCTGTTGGGCCTGGAGCCTGCCACCAACCAACGGCCTCCTGGGCTTTTTACTGAATGGATGGAAAGAGCAAGAGGGGCTCCTCCTGCCTGCCCTTCTGGGTGCTGATATTGTATTTTCCAGCTGTGGAGTGGGGAGGACATATCGCGCTGGTTTGAGACAAAATCTGTGCTGTTCAACGTCACCAAGTACCGGCTCTCTGAAGGCACCATAACAGCCTGAGACAGACCTTCCCACCACAAGTCATCTTTTTCTGTGTGGTTGCATATAATTCCACCTCCTGGCCTTCATTTTTTTGTTTGTTTGCTTAGTGTAGAGGACCAGGAGTTGAGCCTTAGCTAGCAGAGTGGTAGAGAGAGATAAGGGATTCTTTTAAGGTAGCCATAAATACTTTCTGATATTTCCAACATGTGTCTTGAGTTGGGCATGTGGGGCCTGAGCTTATCTTTTCATTTTTGTTTGGTCTCCAAGTCAGTGAGAGGCTGCCTATCTGCCACTCGGTCTTCACACTGGCCTTTATCACCAAGGTGACTAAGAGCCACTTCATCTCCCAGTGATTGCCCCTCCACCTGCCCTCTATCGTATTCCACCACTGGCAATAATTACAGCAATTGCAGCACAGTAAAAATGGCTGAGAGGCTTGAAAATAGGATAGGTACAAAATAAGAGAAAATAGTGAGATATTAGACATGTGCAAATAGAGTTAAGTTTTCTAATGTCTCGGAGGAGGCATAAACAACTTGTAGACTTTATTAAGTGTGCAAGTTACAATCTCTAGTATAACTGAAACTTAATTCCAAACTAATAGAAGAGAAATGAACTAGGGAAGAGAAACATACCTACTAGTCCAAAAGCAGTCAGGGGGAAAAAAATGATTAAAAAGGCAAAATGCAATGAAGGCACAAATATGTTAGACCGAAACCCAGATACATTAGTAGTTGTAGTAATCATAATGTAAGGCTCCCGTTAAAATCATGTGACACACACACACACACACACACACACACACAAATAGTAACCTAACTATGCATTTTATAAGATGCATCTAAAACACGCATGCAGGCATGTCAGACAGAAGACACGCAGTGTGGCACATTCTCACCACAGAGCTACGTGGTTGCATAAATGTCAACCACATAGACTTTAAGGCACATGGCTTTATTTACCAGAAACAAAGGATCATACCACAGGATAAAAGTTTCAATTCCTCAAAATAGTAAAATTCTTAGTATTCACTGAATCATAGAGCTTCAAAATATATAAAGCAAAAGTTGACAGAACTACAAAAAAATACAAATTTACAAGCAGTGGGAAATCATGGTATAAGTATTGCTCATTAATGAACAAGCAGGAGGGGCTGGGGGTGTAGTTCAGCTGTTCCACCACCTGCCTCAAAAGCTCAGGGTCCAGAGTTCTATCCCTGGTACCAAAAAACAAACAAACAAATAATGCAGTGAACGAGCAGGTAAAACAAATCAGTAAATATATGGAAAATCTTAAAAATATAATTAATAAATGGATTTGAACAAAAGACAAAACCCTGCACTCATAACTTTCAGAATGCAAGAATTATTTTTAATCTGTAATCTTTCTAGTGTCCTTAAAGCTCATGAGGAATATTTGTAAAATTTCACCATAGACTAAACATAAAAAAACTCATACTTCAAAAGATTCACATCATAGAAAGTGTATTTCCTGACTACTTCACAGTTAGAGTGAAAATCTAAAACAAAACTATTGGATTCTTGAAGGTTTGGAAATTAAGAAATCAGTCTTTAAAGGTTCAAGATTAGCTCATTGGTTCCACCACCTGCCTCACAAGCACAAGGTCCTGAGTTCCACCGCTGGTACAAAAAAAAAAAAAATAAAGTTCATGGGTCAACTATGCAGTCAAATTAGAAGTTAAAAAATATTTTGAGGGATATGAATATCTTAATTGCATATTTTTAGAAGATAAATAAGCTAAATTAAATTGGATATTTCTTTTCAAAAGGCAAAATGAATGTGGAACAAAATAATCAAAAAAATTAATCAAAGCTTTAAATTGTTCTTTGAAAGAATAATAGAATTGATAACCCTCTGGTGAGCTTAACCACTGTGAAAAGAGAGAAGGGATATTTAGCTAATATCAGGAATAAAAAAACAGAACACAACCAGAGATTTGATAGACATTAAAGATAATATTTTGAACAATTTTATATAAATATCTTTGAAATTAGAGCAAATGAAAAATTTCTAAAATATTCAGTTTAGTACAATCACTTCAGGAAAAAATAGAAAATCTGAATAGTTCTACAATTTAGAAGAATTAGTGGTAAAAAATCATCACACAAGAAAAGCTTTACGTCCAAAGGATATAATCAGTAAATTATATCAAAAATCAACAAAAAAAACTTTGTTATTTTCCAAGTTTTGGGATGCTAATACAGGATAAACTCTATACCAAAGCCCAACATCAAATGAAAGTTAGGCCCATCTTAATCGGGTGCACAAATATTTTTTTTTAATTTGCAAGCTAAATTGAACTAGATATAAAAGGCTAATGTATCATATTAAAGATATCTTTGTTCAGTCACACTAGCCATATTGCACCTGCTGAAAATCCACATGGAGCTAACGGCTACCATATTGGACATCCCAGAAAAATAACATTGCTACTATTGTGAAAAGCACTATTACCACTATACATGCTATATGTAAGAATCATTTATCTATGCATCATAATGGCTTAAAATAAAAATAACACAGGGCCGGGGATTTAGCTCAGTGGTTCGGTGGCCTGCCTTGCAAGTGCAAGGACTGGAGTTCAATCCCTGGTACAAAAAACAAAACAAAACAAAACAAAAAAACAAAACCCACACACAGCAAAAATGGTAAAAAGGTATCTCTGACAAAAGGCCACAGAGAAAAATCAAAACTGGTATATCAGAAATAGTTTATGGAATCCAACAGAACCCAGCTACCTCACCTGCTAAAGAAATATAGAAATCACTGGTGATAATGGTGAAACTCTAAAGTTGTTAGAGTTAAAGCCAGGAACAAGGCAGGGGCCCACTTACCACGATTATCATTGTTTCTGGAAAAGATAGCTGAACAGGAAGGTAAAATGAAGTAGAAACATGAGATTTGCAAAGACCAGACTGTTATCTTTCACAGGCAATGTGACCCCAAAACTCCAAGGGGATTTGTCGATAAACCTTGGAATTCATAATCAAGGGGTTTTTAGGGCGGCAAAATGTAAGACCTATATACTAATCGGATCTTAGGATAAGTCAACAAGTAGACCAGATCCCTGTCTCATGCCGTACACAAAACCATTCCTGACAAATACAAGATGATCTTGAGGCAATAATTTTCAATTGATTATCTTTTAATGTATGGAAGTTATTAACTTTTATAAATTAACCATACGACCCATTTCAAGTATGGGTACTTTTTGTCCGTTCCCCAGGATGGATTTCACAAATGTGGAGGTATTTTCGTTTTACTAACTGGGTGGGGGAAGAGATGCTACGGGCATCTATCGAGTAGAAGCCAGAGATGCTGCTGAACACCCCGTAATTTACGGGCCACTCGCTCTCCCCACAGCCTGGCAAAATGCTTTCCGGTTCCAAATGCCAATCGCGCTCAACTGAGCAACTCTGATCTAACCTGACGCTTACATGGGCTGTTGAATTGCTTGCAGTCGCTTTTCCATTTACGTTTGAGTGTTCTAGGTATGTGGTCATTACCAACTGCCTACCGCGAGGGTACACAGGTCCTTCCCAGCTTTGTGCCTTTTCACGTGGCTCTGTTTTGCATTGCGTTTGGCTGGGACTTTCAGAAAAACCAGTCCTAGCGAGCAGTTGAACTCTATTTTGCTGATTCTGTCGCTGAATGAGTTATGGCCAGGAATTCTGTCTCAGCGCTGAAGATCTGAAAAGCAGACGCTTGTTCTTCTGAGAACCGGATGCCTTGTGTGCAGGTATCTGACTAAAGTCAGCTCTGAATGAGGCTGTCTCTGAGCAAGGCTGGCTGGGGTCCTCCCCTCACTGTCTCCTTGGGTTCTGACTTTGGCTTTCACATTCAGTCTGTCAGGTGCCCAGTGCCCTTGAATGGATTCTTTTTTTGTTTGTTTGTTTTTTCTTTTCTTTTCTTAACACAGATCAGTTTCTTTTGCAACCAAGAATCCCACTGGTAGAACATTAACTACTACGGGTGGTATCAGGTACCATTTCCTCGTTCCTGACTCTGTTGAAAACCATCTCTCATTTGCATTCACAGGACCCATGAGCTCACTACTTCCGGTTCTGGTCCAATGCCGTAGGAGTCATTCTTTTTTCTGTCTCTCCATTTGTGTAAGGCCCTTCTTTGAGAATGCAAAAGCGGTTTCCCAGTTTCAGTAACATGTTCACTTCTGTAATCGATCTCCAAGTGCAAGGGGTCCTCCGTCTCCGCCACTCCTGTGGCCCTCATCCTGCTTGGCTCTGCTTCTCCTGGCCAGGATGCCTCCTTCGCCACCAGGGGGCTCCCTCATCATCCTGTTCATGCTCTGCCGCCCTAGCAGGGCCATCCCTGAGTACGCAATCACATGCAAATGCCCTTTATGCTCAGGCTCAGCCATTATTCCTGACATGGTCCAGTAGAAATCATCTTTGCTCTTCTTTTTTAAATGAGTAGTAGTGTATTCCCATCTTCATTCTCTTTATATCCCCTTGCCCTCCATCTCTCCCCTTTCCCAACATTTCCTGGTCCACTCTCCATTTGTAAAAAAAAATCTGTCTCCCCATCTCCTATTATCTCTTTTACTTTTCTCTTTGATTTATTTATACTTTAGGTTTCTCATGTGAGAGAAAACACACACTATCTAAACTTGCACGTCTGATTTATTTCACTCAACCTTATGGATTATTCTTCTGAAACTGCTCTGTACTCATTCTGCTCTGCAGTACCTGATGCCTTGAACTCTGCTGACCACAAAAGGTACAGAAGGGGTCAGAGGAGAAGGAAAGGGAATAGAGGAAGGAGAGGAGGAGGAGGAGGAG